AAGATGTTTGTCATGAGAACCAACTTTCCATCTGGCTTGCATCGGGATATGCGAGCCACCATAAACAACGGGCTGATTATTTTACTCTACGTTTTTTTAATAGCAATCTCGAATACCCAATATCTACATACTATTTTCTAATTCTCGAAAGAAATTGAGAATGATTATTCAATCAGTTCATCTGTATGCACTCTGTCGTCAGCACGCCACACACACATCGCTCCACACAAATTCGCAAGCGTCACCCGATTCCCACCACACCGACACGCCACGCTACTACGCGCACCACATCACACACGACAGACATGCGACCCACTCCACTCCCTTTCCTCTGACGTGCGCCACGCTTCCTTCCCGTCTTAGCCCCAAGCCCCCTTGTTTTCCCTCTTCTCCCCCGCATTTTCCCAGACCACTTTTCTACTCGGTGCACAAAGCTATTCTAATCATTGGTAACTACGTAGGTGTGTTCCAGGGTCTGGGCTGAAGTCAGAGGCATCGGGCTGTACGCTAGTGTGGGCAATGGGGATGAGTTGGTGATGACGACGGTAGATGACGGTACCGGGGATGAGATGCACATACACCTAGAGATTTTGTATGCATGGAGCAACGGAATGGTGGGTAAAAGGTATGCTGTCTGATTCATATTAGTGGTGTCGCATTTCAATATTCATCACACATTGGACTGCGATGGCGCTATTTTGCGCAATATGATCTCCAAGCATATTTGAAAATTACTCGTGTTACAGGATGTCATTGGCCGTGTCCGCTTCTTCTTATACAAATCCTTCATCGTCATCATCTATCTACATACCATCGTTCTATTTTTGTACAGCACCGTTCTCCTCAAGCGACCTCGCCCCAGATCTGCTTGACCAGCTGCTTCTTGTTGATCTTGCCCATTGCATTCCTCGGAATAGTGTCTACGACCTTCATCTCCTGAGGAATCTTGTAATTAACAAGTATTTCTTTCAACGCCCTCCTCATGTCAAGCGCTGACCAGGGCTTGCCTCCCTTACCAGCAGTTTTACCCTGTTCTGAAAGCACAACTACGGCGGCGACCTTCTGACCCCAGGCTTCTGAAGCTAGACCGACGACAGCGACTTCATCGACCTGTGGAAGGGAAAGCATTTCCCGTTCGATCTCAAGAGCAGAAACCTTTTCTCCGCCAGTCTTGATAATGTCGGCTGACTTACGACCGTGGATGAAGTAGAGAGGGCCCTTTGCCCATGGCTGGCTGCTCTTACCCGCTCCCTCGACGGCCCTACGGACTGCGACATCACCAGTCTTGAACCATTTGCCTTGTCCGTCTGCATCCTCGGTGAATTCCTTAGAAGTGGCTTCAGGATTCTTCCAGTACTCCCTGAAGATAGTTGGTCCACGTAACTGAATCTCGCCTTGTCGCTCGCGGCCCGTCGTAGGATCAATCTCGTCGCCCACTTCTATAACCTGTCCAGTTTCAGTATCGACAAGACGCGCTTGCACCGAAGGAAGTGGCCAGCCGACTGAACCATCCACACGATCCGCAAAGTCGAGACCGCAAGAGAGGGCCATGCCAACCTCGGTCATACCATATCGCTCCAGCAGCACGTTGCCTCCACTAAGCTCTGTCCATGCAGACTTGACGGGTGTGGGGAGGGCGGCGGAACCCGATATGTTGAGGCGCATGTTCGAGGGGTGAAGAGCGGTCTTGGTCGCAGCCTGCAGCTCAGGCGAGAGGCTAGGATGAGAGGCAAGCAGGCGCGTGTAGATGGTTGGGACAACGGTGAGGAAAGTAATGGGCTTCTTGACCGGGTCCGGGCTTGGCAGGAATGGTGCTGCAAGGCGCTCCCAGACAGCTGAGGCGTTGAAGGGGAACTGGAACTCAATGGTGCTGCCGGCAAAGAGAGGCGTAAGCAATGCGTTGACGGTGCCGTGGATGTGGTGGAGGGGGAGGACATGGAGCAGCACATCATCGCTGCTGTAGTTCCATGCCTCTAACAGGGACTGCGACTGAGCTGTTAGCACGTCCTGAGGAAGCAGCACGCCCTTGGGTCGGTTCGTGGTGCCGGAGGTGTAGAGCATCATGCCTCCCTGGTTGCTGCGGGACTCCTCGAGGGTGACATAGTCATCTGTCTTGCCCATCATAATCTTGTCCTGCTTGTAGTTGATGGGTTTGGTGGTCATGCCTTCCTTGAGCACCTCGTCAGCCTGGCTCTGAAACTTCTCAGAGGAAAGCAGCATCAAGGACTCGCTCTGGTCGATGATGTAGCGCAACTCGTGGGCGGGGAAGGCGGGCGACAGCGGTACGGCAACGGCATGTGCGGCGAGAATAGAGAGGAGCGTCACTGGGTGGAGGTTAGTGGCTGCACTGGCATGGGGCTACAGACGAGGGCAAGAGGAATGCGCACCTACATAGTCGTAGCCGTTTTCTACGAGGAAGGAAATGCGCTGGCCCTCTGCACTTGCGCCGTTGCAATTCCGCTGCAGCTTGTCTTTTGCTGCCGCGACGTCGTTGACGAGCTCTCCGTAGGTAAAGGAGCGGCCAGATAGTGAGTGAACCACGGCTGTAGACTGGCCATTGTGTTTCTTGATGGCCTCAAAGATGGGCAGGCGGGGCAGAGTAGATGCCATTCTGACAGAGTACAGAGCAGGTGGAGCGAAGCGAAGCGAGTGGTGGGTGGTGTAGGCCGTCGGTGGTGATTTGTGTCGGGCGAGGGTGCGCAAGAAGAGGTGACGCGCCCACATGGCGGCAAGAGATGCGGGATCAGCGCAGGAGGACGCGGGTTTCGAGGGTGAAGTGCTGCAGTGACTGCGCCCGAATCATGCTGGCTCTGTTTGTGCCGCTCGCCGCTGGTGAATGCCGATGCGGACTGGAAAAAAAGCCTGGTTGAATGGAGAATGCGGTGATGGAGGCAGGATTAGAATTTCGGCAGCATTCAGGGCTGAGTGGCCGCTTCAATGGCTGTGTTCTTTCTGCTTCATACTTTCCCAACCATGACGCGATCCATCCGAAAGCCGATCGCTTTCCGCTTTCCGACCCCGCCTTGGCACACCTGCATCTGCCTGTCGTCTTACCCACTACCTACTACATGCTACCAGTAGTGCCCATGCAAACAAGCTCTTTCGTCTTCACCACCACCACCACCACCACCACCACGCCCAATTAGGAACACAGGGTTGTGCATGTTCTTCCAACGAGCCAGCCTCGCGGGACGGCGCTTTATGTCAGCCATGGCCCAATCCATGACTCCAATGGAAGATGCTCTGCGGACAAAGGTGACACATCTCTGTCCCACCATGATACATACGTCTATCGTGCAGATTTAGAGACTAACCCGTTGCCAGATCACAGAGGCGCTGAAGCCCACAAGTCTGGAAATCTTCAACGACTCTCACAAGCATGCCCACCACAAGGCCATGCAAGGAGTGACTAGTAGAGAAACACACTTCCGGTAACTTAAAAAACATTGCAACACTACACCCCTCACGTATCTCGTACTGATTCACACAGCGTACACATCACATCGCCAGCCTTCCAGGGCAAGATGCAGGTTGCAAGACACCGCATGGTCAATGCCCTGATGAAAGACGAAATGGCAAAAGAAGGCGGCATCCACGCCCTGCAACTCACCACTCGCACGCCAGAAGAAGAGGAAGCCAGGAAGCAAAACGAAGCCGCACAGTCTTAGGTACCTTTGTTTGTATTTTCTTTTTTTCTGTATACTCCAAATACCCAAATGAGTGTGAGCTCGAGGCCAAAAAGAATCAAACATAAACACCCGGCAGATCTGCACTGTAACGAACGACACAGCCATACTCGATGCACCCTGTCACTCAGGATCCTTTTTCTTCAACATGTTCATATCTCAATTTAGCCGCTGTCTCTGCCATCACACGGCCCAGCCCTGGCGGTGCAACTGTTTCTGAGGCCAAGATCCTCACAGCCTCCGGCCGTGTTGCACCAGTACACATGGTTGTTGATGCGTCCAGAGGTGACAATGGTGCCACTGTAGCAGTATCCACAGTAGAGGCCTATACTTCGTTGAGCTTGCGTGCGTGCCTCTTTGCCATGGAGCAACATACCTGGGTTAGAGACTGGGATGCACCTGCACGCCCGTTTGTCAAGAGTGGCGGGCTCAGGGGCGGCCTCGGCGACTGGAGCAGCGTCGCGTGCAACCTTTTCAACGGCGTCGTTGGGCGCCGCCTCGGGGAGAGCAAAAGCGCCCCCGGCGATGAGGAGGGTGGCGACCAGAGTCTTAATAGGAAGCATGGTGTTCGAGACGATGTATCTTGGGTTGAGTTCAATTCACTGTGAGTTGAAAAAACTTGTAAGATGCATCTTGAAAACTCGCCTTCCTCGACGTCGTTATATACCTTTTCCCCCCAGTCTGCCTTCCAGCATCACTACTGCATTAACCACCCCCTCCCCCCTCTCCTCTTCCCAAGTCTCCCGTGGTTCACCGGTAAGATGCATCCATCAAGCAACAACCCTCAGCTTCCAGGACTACACAAATTGGATACGATACCCTCAATGCTGCACGACGTTGTACTAGAACTCAAGACTAAGCAGCGATGGGCATAGTGTGCCATGATGTTAGGCCGAGAGAGCTCAGCTTCCCCGCATTCTCGACCATTCTGTGTATGCAATTCTGGTCGTACACTGACATAATCATGTCACCAACAACTTCTCTGTCCAATTGAGTCAAGAAAAAGACCATTTGTAGGTGACCGGGATATTTACCAGAATGCGAACAATGCGACCCTCAGGCATGGGAATTGCGGAGACTGGAGGGGGGTGAACAACAAACAAACAAACACAACATGTCTTGAAAGGTGCTTTTTTGTTTGTTTTGCCTACTCCCATATCTATGGCAATGCTACTAGAGAAGATGATTCCTCCAACCAAATTTGATAGGCAAGGACGTGACTTTGGGGGCAATCCGCTTCTTGTGTAACAACGCTTATTTCTCGAGACCTCAAGATGCCTACGGACGGGATATTCCCAAAAATAATTTCCCTTTCTACTCAGCAACAACCTGTCCATTCAGCTTCCCACCCTCAATCTTTTCCCCGCCCTTGAACTTGAACTTCTTGAGCCCCCGCAAACCCACATTAATCTTAAAGCAGCACCCAGCAAACTCGTCAATGGGGCCACCATTCTCGCCGCTCGTACCACCAGCACTAGTAATGAACAGCTCCTCGCCCACAAAGCAAGGACACGTCGGCTGGCTCGTTGGCACCTTGATCTCCGCTACAATCTCGCCCTGGGGCGAAATCCGCAGGACGGAGGACCCGCCATGCAGCGCCGTCCACATGTAACCCTCCTCATCCAGACAATGGCCATCCGGGACTGCATCCTCTCCATACCGGTTATCCTCTGGCATAACAAAGTACGGCCGCCTATTCTTGATCTCGCCCGTCTTGGCATCGTAGTCGAACTGGAAAATTGTCTTTGACGGGCTATCCGCAAAATACAAAATGTCGTCCTGCTTGTTCCACGTGGTGCCGTTGGGGATGCAAATGTCATCCATGGGCCGGTCGAGACTCAAGTCTGGGTTGAGGCGGAATACCGCACCGTCTGATCGCATGTCCGAGACCAGAGGGTCGAACATGAAGCCCGCCCAGAACCTACCTTGGGAATCCACGGCGCCGTCGTTGCCACGGAAGATTTCGTGCTTGTTTGCGCTGATTTCGTCCGAGGACCAGACCTTTTTCAGCCAGCGGTATTCGCCGGTTTCTTTGTTGGCGACGCCGAAGCCGTACTTGCCGGCGAAGACGAATTCCGCGTCGTTGCCTTCGATGTCGGCGGTGCAGCCGATAGAGATGTCGTAGTTCTTGATGGTTTTGAAGCTCGAGGGACCCTTTGCAAGGTCGACACGCATAACGGTTTGCTTTTCGACATCGAGGAAGCGGATGCTGTTCCTATCCTCTTCCCAGAAAGGACCTTCGCCTAGGGCGCAGTGGGTTTTGAGCCATGGCTATGAAGGGGAGAGACAGTCAGTGATTTGAAGGTCATCTTTGCTAGTAACAATTTGACAATTCGTGTCTGTGATGCTTGCGTGTAACGATATGAGCTGAATACCAAGTCCCCTTTCTCTTTTCTTTGTTTGCAATGCTCACAAAGGAGGAGCTGTATGACTTTGGCGGGGTAGTAGGTCTCAAGAGCTACCTCACCCCTCTCACCCAATAACACCCCCCCCCGTCTTTCAGAGTATCACGAAAAAGCAAATACACAACATACCTCTGTTATCTCATACTTCTTAACCTCAGGCATTTTCAAAGATATCTCGCAACCTGTCGTCTCGTTTGTACCGGGGTCCACCAACGTTTTCAATTCCCTTTTTTTAACCCTTCTCTTAGCTAGCCACCGGCTGATCGACCTTGCTATGAACCGTGTGTGTATGTATGTGTGCGTGTGAAGAAGACTGCACAAAAAAAGGGGAGAAATGGGGGAAACCCAAATCCATACCTTATTCATATGACGTCCCGATGAGCCGCTGTTGAGGCTAGGAACGGCTTCCCGCTTTTGACATGTCGACCTCTTTCTGACCCGCTTATCGCCCCCCCCCTCCTCCCTTCAATCTACTGCGCATCTATGTAACCAATGTAGCTCCGTCCGCCTGTTGCTTCTAGCCAGAAATAAGTGATACGTATACCATAAGCGTTGGGAATTAGTGACCCAGCCGCTGGAATATACAATTCTCATAGTATATCTGTTGAGATGGCGGATGCCCGTTGCCGGCTAAACGGTCCGCGAATGCCTGGGCAGCTGAACGCATGTTCTTTTCGGATCGTTGTGCTCGTTGTTCCGGATAAAATGTCGACGCAAGGATTCATGATCTTTTGTTTTTGCTTTTAGACTATACGAGTAAAGAGCCGTGTTGTGGGTATATTGGTTGCTTTACTGACTTGCGTTTGGGCATATTTTGGCGACCGGGCCGATAAGGTCTTTTGTGAAGCATATGTACTTTGTGGAGATTTAGGATTTGGCACAGGATTTTATCCTATTTACTTTTATCCGGATATGAACCTTGTTTGTTGTTGTCAGAGGGATACTCGTAAAAGGCATAGTTTGTTTGGGAGGTTACAATATTGAAGATCTCGTGGTGTTGAGATGCGGGTTTACAAGTATCGACGAAGCATAAAGGTGTCAAGATAGTTTCCGGCAAAGCCAGTGGTCAAGCTCCACTCTTGTGCACTGATAAACTCGCAGTTAAGAATAAAAAAACTCATTATTTTATTGTTACAAATGACTCAAATGATGCCTCGATGCGCTCATACTTTCAAAGCAGAGTAGCGCAAACCAATGCACCTAATAGTGATTGACTGTTCGTAATCGGCGTAATTTCAAGTTCTCCCCAATGTACTCGTACAGTGCCCAATACATATACAGCAAAGGTTCAAGTTTTCAAAGATGCCCAGCTCCCAAACGCTTCTCTTCACATGGGTTTTCCTTGACCTCTCATCTCAGAGCTGGTCTATCAGGTCACACCTACCTTTTATTTTCCAACAGTCTTGTCCTTGAGTTCCCTCGTCTTCTCAGCAACCATATCCGTGACACCCCTTGCCTCGTTCTTGGCCTCCTCAGCCGCACCTCGAGCCCTCTTAGCCATGCGCTCCTTCCACGCCTTGTCCTCCTCATCTCGCATCTCCAGTTCCCTGAGCCATCGTTCTCTCTTATCCATACGCTCCTTCTCTGCAACTTTCTTCTCATACTCCTTGCGCTTAACACGGTCCTTTTGCCAATACATGTTTCCTGCGACTAACACAGCAATGGTGAATGCCTGGGCGTAGAGACGGCGGCGGAAGTAGACGTTTGTCATCTTATGGTCGCCCTTGCGCATGGAACGGGTTGCGCCGACGATGGCCCAGACGGTGAGGCCGCAGCCGAGGGGCACGAGGGGCTCTTCGCGGAGACGGCGCCATATCTTGTCGATGGTGTTTTCATTGTAGAAGTCCCTAGTGTAGATGTAAGCAACTGAAGCTTCAGATGCTTTTATGTCACCGAATCAATTGAGAAATAATGGCTACTTACTCATTTTCATCAAAGGAAGAGGGGAGAGGCGCGCTGTTGGGAGGACCAAAAGACATGGTGGGCGCAAGATGCAAATGCGGAGGTGGCGGAGGAGTCGCGTGGGCCGATGAGAGCAAGTTGGTAATTTTTACATGAATTTTTAGTGCTTTTCTTTATGAATCAGAAGACTCCAGGCTCAATTTAACCTTGAATAGAAGCTCTAGAGACACTGGTGGGCTACTGCAGTAGATTGTAACTTGGTTCAAGATGCGGAGCAATCGATTATCTCACCACTCTCGGCCATCGGCCCTTCTTGATTTTCCAGCACCGATGCGGGTTGCGGCCTAGAGGAGACAAGAGCCTCGCAGGTCCCCCCAAGAGTTCGAGGACAAACGCTCGTCAACTCCGCACTGTCACTTACGCCCGTCGCCTTCAATGAGAGACGAAGCGACACGCCAAATCCCCTCGCTGCGCCATGGACGATGAGGCCGAGTCGTCTCGCGCACCGCAGCGCCATGACGACAGCGCACCTAGTTTGGCGGCCCTGGAGGCCCTGGAAGATGCAATAGCTCGACTCGATGCAGCCGAGGAGCGTGAAAGAGAGAAACAGGTGCAACAGAGGCGGATGGATGCAAAGAGGAAGCGCATCCAGATGCTGGGCGAACTGCTGCGTGACCTGGACATGGTCGTTTACTTGGAACTCATTACTCTCTATCATCTCGAGTATGCGCCCCGACGGCGATGCGCTGCAACTGTGCCGCTGACCACACACACACTGTAGTTGCTCATTCTTCTGGCTGGCATTCAAGGCCTTTATCCACGGCACGCTGCTTACCCCGATCCCCGACACCGTGACGGTTACCCGGCCGCCAGATGAACCCAAGCCGTTTCTTCCGCTGCTCCTCTTCTCCTTTGGCGTAACCTTTCTCCTGCATCTCACCTACCCGGCGCCTGCAGCTGGCGAGGACACACGAGGCTACCTTCATGGTGGATTGATGATTGACTTCATCGGCCAGCAGGGCCCCACGAGCAAGTGGAAGCTGGGCGCACTCGACATATGCATACTGTTCCTGCAGCTCGTCATGGTGTCAGTGCATGTAAAGAGGCGCGAACTCAAGAAGAAGCTATCAAAACTGGCAGCTGGTGGAGGAGGAGGTGCATCGAACACCACCACCACCAACCGAGCAACGTCAGACTCGGCTACAACAGAAACGGCAGCAGCAGTAGCGAATGCCAATGTGGGCCGCGGGCAGGATGCCGATGACGAGGAGCGAGGGGTGCTTCACCGAACCGATACGCTATCGGACGTGGGCGCAGAAACCGGGAGCGAAGACGACATGCTGCTACCCGAATCCGAGTCGGGTCATGCAGATGCCATGGAAATGCTCAGCTCGGGCCAGTGTGTGATTGGCGAGTTTACGCTGCTCGACACGCTGGTGGAGGAGAACAGGAACTACTCTGCATATCGGCTGACGCGAACGGAGAGCGGCATGAACGATATGCCGGAGACCTTGCGGAGGCTCAACACTTTGCGCACCCGCTTCGGGGTCGGTCGTGGCTGAACGCAAGGCAACGCAGTGCAGGTAGCAGTAGTGCAGCCAGTGTAAGCGAAGGAGCTGGGTGGCTTTTTTCTGGTTTCTTATCAAATGCCCATGTTGGTTTTGTGATTACTCCACGCCTGCAACGTTTCTTGTGCTTTTGCATCTCCGCGCACTGAGATTCCTGTGTCTCGGAAAGAAGTAAAAGAGGGCCCCCCCCCACACACACACTACGTACCCAACCTTCTTTTACCCCATGCAACGCTTTGCATATGAAGTCATTGCCCCCACGTCCCACCTGTAATACCATATTTAATGCCATGTCACACGCTCGAACGGGGGGGGGTATGTGAGTGTGAGATACGCGGACTGTCCAAGTGCTGTGTTCCCACGCGCCTGGTCTTGATTGCAAATGTGTGTGTGTGTGCCGTGCATGCGTACAGGCGGGTAATACATCGTAGTCAAATAAACGCCAACCCAACCAGATAGTAGTCGTATGCCAAAGAAAAATCACATGACAAGCCCCGCCATTCGCAATCCTTCCATAACGTTTCCTTTGTTTTTCCAAAGGAACACATGCATACAACAGCACTTTCCATACATACTCGCCAAAGAGAAACCATATATCCAAGCCACCGCCACCACCACCACCATTGCCACTACCCCGTGCAGCATGTATGTCAAACCTACGCCATCGTCCCCGATAAAAAAAGGAACAAAAACAAGCCATGAGCAAACGAAAAGCACAGCACACCGATGACACCAGGGTACGGTAAGGCAAGTAATAGTTCAAGTCGGCTCTGTGCCGCTTTTTTTTTTTTCCAAACGGCATGCCGCCCGCGCGCCCGTCATCACACACAGCCAGCCAACCAGCCCCCGCGCACCCCATGCTTATGCCGCACATACACACAGGCGCGCGCGGTGCGATGCACGCCCGGCGCCCGTCATTCCCGCGTCTCTGATTCTTTTGACCCTACTGTGCTACAGAGGTGCCTTTCAAAAGTCCTTGCTGGCAGGGATCATCTGTATTACTATCGAAGCTTGGTC